TATGTACCTTCCAGAGAACACTGAACATGCCCAGTGTCCCCTGGGCATTTGTTTAACAATGACTAGGAATGTTTCTCCCTGTATTGCTAATGTCCACCTGCCAGTGTGATGAACCATTTTGGTTATCTGCTATGGCTCCTCTTGCAGCTAGTTCTTGGCCCACAATCTTTGGCTAGGAGTGTTTTTCCAGCATCATGCCCACCAGAAAGGACCTTTGATGTGTGGCTGCCTACCAGCCTTCAAGCCAAGAGGACGTCCATGACATCTGACCCTGTACCTCCCTTGTGCCAAGCTTTGAGAAGAGAGGGGTGTGACTGCACCCAGCAGGGCTCTCCCACGGAGAACACCAGTAGTTAAGAGAAACCATGAGTCAGGTATTCAAAATAACTGTAAAGCTGCAATAAATAGTTAAAACAGTGTGTTCTTTGTATTATGGAATGGAAAAAGAAGCATTTTATGTAAGTTATTCCCTGTATTTGTTTATATATGCATGGAAGAGTTCCAAAATAATATTTTAAACTTAAAAAAAATTAAATTATTTAGAGAGATGGGGATCTCACTATTGCACAGGCTGGAGTGCAGTGGTGCAATAACTCAATGCAGCCAGACCCTCCTGGCTTCAAGTGATCCTCTTGCCTTTTCCTCCCAAAGTACTGGTATTACAGGCGTGAGCCACCATGCCCAGCCCAGAATAATATTTGAAAAAGAAAATGTGGCACTGACCCAGCATAGGAAACCCAGACACATATTTACTTATTTAAAATACGACCAAGCTGGTAGTTCAGATCACTGGGGAAAAGAGGAATGAGTCACGAAATGATCACTGGTTAACTATTTGGAAAAGAAAGAATAAAACAGCCTTTTTGCTTTCTACTGACTTTAAAAATTAACCCTTTAATCGATCCATAATATGAAATATTTTTTTAAAAACCGAAAACTATAAAAGTTGCATGAAAAGGCAGGCACACATTTTAATCATTTTCAAAGAAGCCATTTCTAAGCAGAATACAAAAGATAGAAATCATAAAAATAGCTAGCCATGATGTTATAAAAATGTAAAACTTACAAACAGAAGAGGATCAACTTGTGTTATTGTTAGTGAGCCTTTTCCCCCTTCGCTTGTTAGTTTTTAAAGAAAGTATGTCTAGTGTGCTTTTGTGTGTGTAGCATTACACAGGGCGCACATATGCATACACTCAGAGGCTGGGAGGCAGGGTGGGTGGGAAGGTTGGTTTCAGCACAGGCTATTTAATTTGGTCTGCCTGTATTAAGTTCCTGCTCTGGACCAACACCTCAGTGGGTGTCCAGGATAGAGATGAGCAAGACCTGCTTTGA